CGCGCCCCGCCGTCGTCATCGACAACGGCACAGGGTAAGGCGGTTGTTGGTTGGTTCGTTTGTTTGTTTGTTTGCCCCCTCTCGCGTTGTGCTCTCCTCCGGTTGTTAGCTTCGCTGCGTGATCCGTGCGCGGCGTGCGCCTAGCTAGGGTTTTTCCGCGATGGGATTGGCTGTGCTGTGGATTCGGCGAGGCGAGCGTATGTCCCTTGTGTGTTATGGCGATGGATTGCCTGTACCGTTGCGTGTATCTGTGGCTTGGATTATTCAGTCGTTCAGAGGTTTCCCATTTCGCGTCCTTGAGGTTCTAGTCAATCAGTAGGAACTCCACTTCATATAGTTCAGAACTTCGGATCATTGGATTTCCGAGTGATGCTGTGTTGGATTGGAGTGCCTTTTTTGTTTAGTTGCATTAGTTGCAAATGGAATAGGATTGGGTTCATGTTTGGGGTGTGGGGATGGAACATTTAAGGTTAACTCCCTAATTAGCCAGGACATGATGCAGCTCTCATGACTGACGGGTTTGATTTAGTGTCTGAAAATATGTCTTACTTGAAGCATCCTGATTCCTGAAAAGCTAAAAATGGTAGATACCAGAATCGGGCAATACCTGAAGATACTGAAATAGAGTAAAACATATATAAATAGTTTGTAGGATAAAGATGTTTCCCCTGAAGCTGTGTCTTGATTTATCTGCAATTGCTTGAAGGCCGCACATTGTCACCCCAGTAAGGTTATGTTTGATTGTTTTCTTACACCATCTTGCATGATCTTATGTTTAGGTATAGCAAACTTGGATTCTCTGGTAACTCTGAGCCATGTTTCACCATCCCTACTGTAGTAGCTGTGAATGAGTCTTTTCTGGACCAGTCAGAGATGTGCAGTAGTGCAAATTGGATAGCACAGTACAATGCAGGTGTCATGGCTGACCTGGATTTTTTTATTGGTGATGAGGCTCTATCACTATTTAAATCTAGTGGGCTGTACACTAGAAAACACCCAATTAATCATGGTCAGGTATGTTTATGTGTTTTCTGTTTGTAATAACAACAATTGTTTATATTTCTATGTTATACGACTATAGTATGTCCCTTTTACCCTTTTGCAGGTTGATGACTGGGATACAATGGAAAGATTTTGGCAACAGTGCATTTTCAACTATCTACGGTGCAATCCTGAAGAGCACTACTTCCTTCTTACCGATAGTCCTGTCAGTACACCTGAAAGTCGTGAATGTGCAGGGGAAATTATGTTTGAGACTTTCAATGTTCCTGGACTATATATTTCTGTTCAATCTGTCCTCAGTCTTTCTGCTGGATATGCCTTTCTGAAAAGTATTTCTGATGAGGACTCGGTTTCTGTGGTAGGTTCTGTAAACATCTGCTTTTCATGCTTTTTATTTGCTCCAGTGAGACATTTGTTTCCACATGGACTGCATCTCCTTGACTGAAAAGAATTTTCTGTATTACAAAATTATTGTAAACTTGTTTTAATGACATGTAGCCCTGCTATGACAAACTCTGTTTTTGCTCCCTTTCTTTAAGATATTTAAATAGCCACATTTCAAAAAAAAAAATCCAGTCTGTTCCTGCCATATTATCCATAGATATTTGTTGCCTGTGTTGTTCCTAGAATTCCTATTCTTGTATGCAGTTTTGTTTTGCTATTCCCTTGTATACTGGTATGCAAATAAACATGTTCTGCATATTGTGTTATATGCGAAGAGAAGTATATATTTAAGCAATATGAAAGACAGATAATACTGATTGAAGCACTATGAGAAATCAACATTAATACAATATGACTGTGTAAATTTAGTCTTTTAGTTGCCAGTTTGGTTGAGGATAAAGATCTGTAGTTCCTAGCAAGCCAGTACCAACCTTGCAAAAGTTTGAACACCCATAATTCATATCTGTTGGGTCTATTCATGCTCCCTTTTAATTACATGCCCTTAAAATTTCTGGTACACCATGCTACTTATTATTGTTAAGTTTGACCAGTATATTTTGTCAGTCTGATATGACAGGTGTAGTAGTTGATATTGGGGATGGAGCTCCACATGTGGTGCCGGTTGTAAACGGCTACGTAATTGGGAGTAGCATCAAGTCTTTTCCATTTTCAGGAAGTGACGTTACACAGTTTGTTTTGCAGCTTTTACAGGTATTTCATCTTCTCCTCATAAGTCATGTTGTTCATAAACAGGATGTGTGTGTGTATCTAGCATTCATATAGTGCAAATACATTGAAAGGAGCATCGAGTAGTTTTTACAGTACTAAATTAGAACAATTGATACTATTCTCAATGTTCTACTCAGTTTTCATCTGTAATTTGAGTTATGCTGCTCCCAGATCTTTATTGCCTCTATAATTAGTTGTGGCCTGTCACATAATGTTTTTAGTGATTAATGGCATCTTTTGTTGTGCAGGAAAGAGGTGAACTTATTGCACCTGAGGATTCTTTGGATATAGCTCGTAGGGTGAAAGAAATGTATTGCTACACTTCTTCAGACATTGTCAAGGTATTATGCTGCTTGGTTTCGGAGCTACTTACTCAATAATACCTTATGTTTTTTAGGGTACCTTGTTGTAATTTTCCAACGGTGTACATAAATACATTCTTTGATGAAATAGTTGAAAGTGATGTTTCTGTTGAAGTATCTGTATATCGACTATCGAGTCAACACAACAAATTCCATGAAAGGAATGGTGTGCTGTATTTTTTTTTCAGAATACGCAGGAGATAATGGCGTGCTGTATCATCCTTTGAATTTTAAATGCGAAACAATTATGTTTGAAGAAACAAAAAAAATGCCAACTTTGTTGTGAATTGTAATTTGTTTTGTTATGATTATCACGGATTAGTTAATGCCTGGAGAATAGCCCATGGGCAAGTTGCAGCATGATTCGGATGGCAGAGATTAAATTTTTTGTGATGTTACTTTTGTCATGGATTTATCTGCTGGCTAATATATACTACATATGATATTATTATTCTGGTTCTACCAGCAAGATTGAACTGTAGTTTAGACTTATCTTGAACAGATAGGTTATTATGTGTTTCCGTTACAATTTCAGGAGTTCAAGAAGCATGACAAAAAGCCTGATAAGTATATCAAACACTGGTCTGCTATTAAGCCCAAGACTGGAGTCCCATACACAATTGATATTGGATATGAGCGTTTTCTTGGACCAGAGGTTTGTTCCCATTTCTATCATCTAGTTTCCATGTTCTTTTAGTAGTGTTGCTACAATTGACATGATACCAATCATGCTTTGAACAGGCGTGCTACCCTACTGACGTGATAACATTTTTACAGCTTTTGATGTTATAATTGATTGTGTCCTGTTTGTTTGTCTAATGTGCTACTCCATGAAATCATGTGCATTGTTGGAATGAACTGAAAGCCCATGTTATGATTGAACATGTATGATTAGTTGGAAGAGTAATTCTGTTCTCTAGGGCATTCAGTATTAGTGAAAGTCCAGGGGCTTCAACACAAAAAGGACTAATAAGAACTATGGGTCAAATGTAAATTTTGTGTTGATCTGATAAATGCTTCCTCCAGAAGTCATTTTATTGACATTTGGACTCTTCACCTTGAAATGACATTAAAAGGAGAAAAACATGAATTTGATGTAATTTACTAACCTTCTACTAGCGCAAATGCAGATCTTCTTCCATCCCGAGATTTACTCTGCCGACTTCTCCACTCCTCTACCTGAACTAATTGATAGCTGTGTTCAATCTGCGCCAATTGACACAAGGAGAGATCTGTATAAGGTGCTTTGTTTGAACTCTGGGACACATCTAAGAATGTGACATATATTGATTATGTGATATTTGACTATTTGCAGAATATAGTATTGTCTGGTGGATCTACAATGTTTAAGGACTTCCACAAGAGACTTCAGAATGACATAAAGAAGATAGTAGATGAGCGTGTTGCCGCAACTAATGCCCGTCACCATGTGGAGGTGAAAGTAAGTACAACGATGATTGGTTTTGAGTTCATACGGCAATACTTGAACTATTCCATTTGTGTTTTGTCTCAACCTGTTGTCTCAGGAGTCTTTGTTGACAATTAATTGAGTGTTTCGTTCGTCTAATGTTTTGGTTCCAGCCTGTTGAAGTCAATGTGGTCGCCCATCCTATACAGAGTTATGCAGCTTGGTTCGGGGGTTCAGTAGCTGCTTCTAACCCTGAATTTTATGAGGTGCCTTCCACTTTACACTCTTTGAGTCTTGACACCTCATTCTGCAAATTTAATAATATGACATATTCTGCCATATAACTTTGTTAATAAGTCAATAATATGCTTCAGGTCAATGCAAACCATATGCACTGCACACGTGAATAAAGTGATAAGATGGAATCTAAAGTGTTTGTATGTTCTCTTTCAGAGTTGCCACACAAAGGAAGAATACGAGGAGCATGGAGCAAGCATCTGCCGGACCAGCACCGTTTTCAAAGGGATGTACTGAATTTTTTCCACCTGTCCAAATCTCTCAGTAGGAGTTCGTTTAGGTTTCACCAGATAGAAATATGTAGTCAAAATTGATTCTTTTTGGCCCATCCAAAGCATCGCCGGGGCCATCCTGATTAGATTGGTAGCTCAGGTTGTTGTTAGCTCTCTCTGTGTTCATGCTGTGTATAGCCAGCAGCTGCTGTTCCTCTGTTTCTGTTCGAGGTGCATGTTTGTAGCCAAAACCTTGGGCAGCGAGGCCTTTTCCCACTTTCTACATACTCCTATTTCACAACATTTTTTTTCTACACATCTTTTTTTCCAGATATATATTCATGATGAAGAAGTTTTTGCTAATAAGAATTCAGGTTATGCATTGGACTGTTGTTAAGCTGAGGTAATTGTTCGTTGATGATATTGAAGACTTTGAACCGTATGACAAAATACCCTTTCTGATCAATCAACCAAGTGCATGTATGTTACGGTTGCAACGAGCCAATAATTACCGAGAGACGATTCTATCAGAAATGCAGATGTGCATAAAATTTGCATCTGAACAATCCACTCAACCATAAACGAAAACTTTAGATTCAGTTGTAGTATCGATCATGTGGTCTATACCCCTAAATTTTAAATCTTAATATGCACAACAAAAAAGACAGGAGAAGCCTACAGCAATTTACATGGATGAAGCTGGCTCTATGCACAGCGCACAGCCTAGAGTGGAGTTTCAGTGATCAACTGTTCAAAATTACATGATGTTCTCTCTGTTTCTCATGGAAAATTGGCATGACGTGGATTAGCGGCAAAACAGGGTGTTCATCAGGAAATCCTCAAGAGAGACCAACCTTGTAGTTCTCAGATCCAGCAGATGATTTTAATCCTCAGAAGATCAGATTTTCTGTCCACCAGATCGGATTCTGGCATGGTGGCAATAGGAGCCTGATGTGTATCCTCAATTCACCATATCTAGCGATCCGGACCAAATTCAGATGTTTGAGATGTGATAGCCCCCATCATGGAAACCTGATGTAATCAAGAACTAATGTTTTGGCCGGAACCACAACGGTCTTGCTAAGCACGAAGAGCACAAGTGTTAATTCGAGCATCAGAATTGTATTTAGGAATGTCCGATCAACGATCCAGCCAAATATCGTGATGCCACCTGGGTTGCCCAGAAGATACAGCACTGCAGTGAAACACAGAAGAATAAAAAAAACATAAGAATCAAACAGGACACCCAAAAAAAAAATCTGTATATGAAATGTTAGCTTTAACACTTAACAATATAAAAGAAAAGAATGTCTTGTAAAGTAAGGTATGCATTAATTCCAAGTTATCACAATGAAAAAAGATTAAGCAATGCAAACTTCAAATGGAAGCTTTAGATTTACTAACCAAGTGATTCCCTCTTGTGGTATGAAGACATGTATGAAGCCAATTGAGCTGTGCCATGAGAATTGCCTTGTACTGAGCCACTCTCCAGAGACTCCAAATCACTTTCTGAAAAGTCTCTCAAGAACATATGTGCTGGAAAAGGCACAAGGTTCCCAGAACTGTTTGGTGTGCTTACATAAGTAGAATCACTAGAGCATGTTACTAAGGCATGCCATCGACTAGCCAGTGAAGCAATGTTTTGAGCTCTGTGAGAAATTTTAGCAGCTGCATGCAAACAAAGGACAAGACCGACAACTTGAACAACGGAAGAGACCTGCATCATAAGAGAAATCTATTTATGATCTGTTTTGTTTTTAAACATAACCAGAAGGGAACATTATGTGATTTTTAATATTGTACTCACAGCTATATCACCACCATTAGTGAAATTGATTGGTCCAGTATATGCTGTTGTCTTGAACAGAATGGCAAACTGGCTTGCTGTAACAGAAAAGAAGAGCAGCAAAAGGAACATGCGGAACCTGTGACTGATTTTGGAGAGATTATGACGAAGCTGCAGGTGCTCTTTTAAATAGACCAAAGGATCTGAATCTTGTTCTAGAAGTTTTCCATAGTCATCGAAATGAATAACTTGTAGGTTGCAAACCAAGTTGAAAAGCATGCAGGAGGTTAATATAATTGTGGTCAGATACATCCATGACATGATGGAAGCAAACAGTACAGCACATGATCTCCAAGTCGACTCTTGGAAGATATGGGAGAAACGGAACATTTCTCGTGTGACCTTCACAACAAAGCATGGCAATATCCACCACAAAATTGTGCTGAAGAAATCCTGCCATAGAGATTGAAAACACATGTCAATATGGCAAACAAAACTCTGGCATATCAAATAACAAATGCATGGTTATTACCATCCTAAACATTAAATTTTGCAATTAAAACATCCACTAGAAAAATAAAGCATGAAGCATCACGCAAAGGGTGATAGCAGTTTCAGCCAGACCATAGACCTAGCAGGACACAGCTCATTTTTATTTTTAATTTGTCTTCTGTTCCAAAAAGAAAAAAGTACAGAAATCAGAGTGTGCCCATTTCCTAACCAAACATTGTCTATTGATAACAAATCAAGTATGGCTTTATGCTTCAATTGATTCCTCCCATTAGAACTGCTAAAGACATATCTGAAGAAATGTGAGTCTTCCAGAGCACGATTCTTTGTTCAGCCCCTAATGACGCGTCTTCATGTAAAAAAACACAAACAGGTTTGTCGGCACAGACAAAAAAAGTGACCTCCCATGCACATGACATCAACTCACATGGGGGCATAAGTAGAAGTAGCAACATGCAAATGCATATATAACTGAGAGAATCAATCACCGCAGTTCACCCTTCACTGAAGACAATCCCATGAATCCAAGGTGCTACCATAATAAAAAATGTAACTCCATACAAAAGATCTCGTACTAAATTACAACCTAGATGCAAGCACAAGCTTACAACCACAGCCTCAAAATCCTCCAGGTTTCCTCAATGCTAAACAATCTGAACATCACATTCCACCTGAGTCCACAAATTTCTCCTTCAAATGCACAAGTTGCAGTAAAATGACACCTACTTTCATGCCATAATCTAGTAGTGGAGTAGTAATTCATCGAGAAAATGTCTTAACTAAATATAAAACAATTTAGCAACTACTCCTCACTAATCACTATCATTATCTAAAAAAACTCGCTAATCCCTATCAATTGAAGTCAATGACTAGGTGAATTTCAGTGTAATCCAAAATTACATCGATTTGAAGGCGGCGAGACATCACCTTGATCTTAGCGACGTACTCCTTCTGGAAGCGGATCCGCATGCCGAGCTCCGGGTCGACGAAGAGGAACTTGCGGAGGCCGTACATGGCCATCTTCCTCGACACGCACGCGAGCGCGACGGCCGCGGCCGCCGCCTGCGACAGAAGCACGCACACCTCGAACACCTCCACCTCGAACTCGTCGCAACCCCTCCCGCGCCCGCGGCACGGGGAGAGCGCCACCGCCAGCGCCGGCAGCGCGACGCCCAGCACGGCGAGCGCGGACGCCGCCCCGGCCTTCCCGAGCGGGCTCGACGCCGCGAGCCCCGCCGCCGAGAGGAACGCCTCGAGCCGCCGCAGCCACTTCGCCAGCGGCGCCGCGTCGCCCGCGCCCGCCCCCGCGGGCTGCAGCAGAGGCGCCGAGATCGCTGTATGGTTCTCCGACGGCGCGGGAGATCCTCTCGGAGGTAGAGGAGGCGGCGGAGGAGGAGGAGGAGGAGGAGGCGCCGCCGCCGCCGCCGCCGCAGCTCCGGCGAGGCGGTTGCTGGGCGCCATGAGGGCGGGAAAGGGTGGGGCTCGCCGGAGGGGCAGAATGGTAAATACCGGGCGGGTGAGTAGGCGGAGACGAGAGGTGTGGGGCCTATTTATTCTAGCGACTTCCCGGGCCCACACGAGTGGTGGGACCCACATGTCAGTGGACCCGGGGTAGAGTGCTCAGCGAGCAAAGGGATCTCTCCACTCCACGGCCAGGATCGCGTGTTGCCCGCGCCGTCCGGGGAGGGGTAGGGGACACGTGGCGTGATCCCATCCGTTCGTCGGTGACGTGGCAGATTCGAGTGGAAGGCTCGTGGAGTAATTACGTGTGAGGGATGCCAGAAAGATCCGCATGACTGGCAAAGTGAAAGCAAAGTCGAATTCTAAATTTTATAAAATTTGGATCAATATCGTTTTCAAATTAGGGGAAAAGTGTATGTTCGTATTTCTATAGATGTATATCCAGTAGTTGATCATTTTGTTTAGTTCGTGAAAAGTAAATTTTTAGGTGTCACATAGGACGTTTGACCGAATGTTGGAAAGGGTTTTTAGACACAAATGAAAAAACTAATTTCATAACTCGCTTGAAAACCGCGAGATGAATCTTTTGAGACTAATTAATCTGTCATTAGCACATGTGGGTTACTGTAGCACTTATAGCTAATCATGGACTAATTAGCCTCAAAAGATTCATCTCGCGATTTCTCCTCTAACTGTGCAATTAGTTTTTGAATTTATCTATATTTAATACTCTATGAGTGTAACCAAAGATTCGATGTGATGTTTTTGGAAAAAAGTTTTTGGAAACTAAACAGGGCCTTTAAATATGCGACTGTATTTGTGTGGACAATTAATTATAAATGAAATCCAGAGGCTGAGAAATTTGTTCTATTATAAAAAGAAAGGAAAACGTGTGGTTGCATTTTGTCATATGCTGGATATATGTTAGGCCATAAACAACCTCAGCTCATAATTTAACCCCTGTTGACATGATTTTTGTGCTAAAAAGGTGATCATGGGAATTGGGGACAGTAAGAAAACTCTAGACCAAAAAAGGGTAAACACCTTTAGATTAGTTACATGTAGTTAACCTTAGATTAGTTAGATGTAGCTACTAGTAACTAGCAGCTGTTGCAATTAGACGTAACCTCTAGATAAAAGTTGGTTAACCACTAGATGTAGCTAGCAACTACTGCAACTCGCGACTACTTCTGAAACCATTTTGTGTGTGTATGTGTTTTGATTGATCCTAGTCATCACCTTTTTTCTTGACATGTGTTAGAGCCACTGAATCATTGGCCCCATGCCGATCACCATATGTCCATACACAAATGGAATCGAATTAGCACATCACCATCAACACAAATCCCATGATTGGCTGTTTTTTCTCCTGTGACTTTGTGGCAAAAAAGGAGCAACACACCCAGGCAAAAGAAAATAGTCCAGGAGACCAGGAATTCATTAGTAAAAATAATGAGGCTACATGATTATGATGTAGCTTAGAAGCCATGATTACTAAAAAGTTTTCATATACAACACAACAGTTCTATGATATCTAATTTTCAGTAACAAGAACAGCTACATTTTTTAACTCGAACCAAATTTAATTTTTGACCCTACTTAGTATCATACGATGATGTGAGCTTTCAGAAAATATATATCGGCATGCATGGATTTGAGGTGGTAGTCGGTGACCGGGCGAGCAGCTCGCCTCAGCGGCGACAACGACGGCGAGCTCATCGCCGGCCGCCCATCCGCCACCGCCAGACCGGGCGTCCACGGAGAAGTTGGGCCTAATTAAATCCTACTAAATAAGACGATAAGACCAAGTCAGTTCCATGCGGTGATGATTAGCCATTGTTAATTGTGACAGGTCCCCTGTCAATGCCGGCAAAGTTTAAGCTACACAAAGGAAGAAGAAGAAATGACTGAGTCACAATCATCCAGCAGAGAGTGTCATCAGTAATCACCCAACAGCTGGTCATGATCTGCACCAGAAGAGGAGAAAATGTATCATGAACTATATTATAATGGGGTTCAATAATTCTTGCAGGAGAAATGATTCTTTCTTGACATCAAGGCAAATGAGAAGAAAATGGGGGAGGAAATAGTTGGTATATCTTGGAATTAAATTGATGAAGTCTATTTCTATCTCTAATAAATATGCAAATAATTGCACCAATGCTATCATGATTAGTTAAATAAATAAAATAATTGTAACTCGACGTGGAGCCCTTTTGTACATGAAAATTATATATGGTAGAAGAAGAAAAGGTAGGCAAAAAATAGATTGAAGCATAGTCATAAAATATATTAAAGCTTATCTGCTAAAGCTGCTACGTGCAATGAAACTTGAAAGAAACATAGTAGCTAAATCAGCCGCAACTCAATCTAGCAGAATATTCGTCACAAGCAACGTAGGAAGAAAAGAATATTAGCGCAGAATGGTTCACGTTTCACAGTCAATTAGCCCCTTGAATTGAAGCCAGTTAACATACCAAATTGTCAAAGGTGCAAACAGCCATGCAACATGACAAAAATGGTTGCTGCATAAGTAAACCATATACTTATATAGCTTAACAGAATGACAAAGCAGAGGACGACAATCCAATTTCGATACAGTAGATCTATATTGATTCCTTGACTGCTGCTACCCTCAAAAAAGGTTGGAAATGGATTGGATCTATAAAATACTGTTACAGAAGTTCATTTGGGTTGTTTGGAGATATGCCTAGATTCTGGTATTCCGATTCCAAACGTGAGAATGAAGACAAGCAGGTAAACAGCATTAAAATCAGGACACAAGTTATCATTCAGAACACAAGTAGACAGCATCAAAATCAGGAGGAACGTCAACATTCAGAACACGCAACAGAAACTTCAGTTCGAACTCTGCAGATACAGTCCATGGTACGACCAACAAGGTGACTATCTTACATAAGGCAGCAAGAAGTGGCAAAATGATTGTGTTAATATATTATATTCTGGCCATTTAGAAGAACATGGCAAGAAATTCATCTAGGAAATGTGGATGCACAACAATATAGACAACAAGGACACTATGAATCAGAAGTCAATCTATCATACAAAATACAGGACAAAAATAGCTTCTGGAGAGCCTAGCAGTTAGAAAAGGGAAACAGATACTGACCTATAATCTACAGTAACAACAGCTAAAACTTTCCACATCAAAGGTGTAGTTTTGTTCTCCACGTGCAACCAACAACTTTCTTTGGAGCAGGATTATCAGGCCCCCTATCTCGCTGCCCAGAAGTGAAATAGAGCCAACCATCCCAGTAACCAGCTAGGGCCGTCTTGATTCGGAAAGGCATGCGGCCAATGACTGACCATGTCTGAAAAAGGAGCATTCCAGATGTTTATCTGTCAAATCATTTGACTATGCTTGGGAGAATATAACCATGAAAGGTGCATATAACTGACATACCAGTGTATCCAAATCGAACCGGAAAACTTCACCGACAAGAATCATCTTTTTGGTAATAGGATGCTTTTCCGTAGTTCCACCAACAATTATTACAGAGTTATTAACTATAACCCATGCACACTCTATGTGGGAATTTGGCTTTGGCAGTGGAGATAGTTGCTTCCATTTATTTCCATCATCTAGCATATACACATCACCGTACACAACCTGCAAAAGTGCAAATTGTGTTTATGGCAGAATCAAGCTATAGCCATAAACGGCTAGAACATAAAAATCAAAATGTAAACAGAGACTACTAACTAGAATTCTTATATGGAAGTTCATGTCACTTTTTTTTTTAACAATGATAAGTACTCACTGGGTGTAACTACTGTTATTTTTGTTTAGAATAGTTAAAAACATCAAGTGTTAATATCACTAAGTGGCCAATGCAAACTGTAGCGTTATATCTTGTATTTTGATAATAAGGGAATAAACATCAGGTGCAGGTAAGTAATCTTCAATTTGTAACATCAAGGAGTTACATAAGCATACATACCTCATGCCTCCGTACACATTTAAATATCGGCGAGCCTGGTTTTGCCATGAAGTCTCCCTCTTGACCGCCAATGACAAAGAGTTTATCATTAGCAACAATGCATGCCCTGTAAAAAGTTAAGACAAAAATGAAGTACTGTCAATATTCTAATCAGTTGCATGTGTTCTCACTAATAAAATCTGCACATCAATTAGCAAACTGCATAAACGGCACAACTGACAACAAGTACACTCGTACAAACCTATGAGGTCCACCACGGGGTATGGCTATCTCAGTTCGCCACTCATTCTCCAATGCTTTGCCATCCTTGACAGCTAAGCTCCAGTGCTCTAATCCAGGTTCATGGCGATCTTCTTTTCCACCACCCATCACATGGAGCCGTCCACGCCAAAGTTGAGTAGCGGGTGCATACCTAAGGGGTGTTACAACATAAGTTTGTTTTGTCTACCTGATTGTTTATATGGTATAGCAATAAGATCATTACATAGCTTTAGAACATCTTAAAATCATAGCAGAAATAGCAGCCTTTTTCAGATCAACAAATTCTATTGGCCTGATATTTGCTCAGTAATCATTACTAGGCTAAGGTTGATCGATAATTCAATACTAAAATCAACATAAGTGCATCAATTGCTTAAGTGATAGCAGCCTAAGAATTAAAGATGATACACAACAACACATAACATAAGCACCAATGGTAAGTGATGACAGACTCCATAGAGCATACCTAGGAACTGGCAAAGGGGGCAGTTCATGCCACTCTTTTGTCACTGTGTCTACAACGAAGTTGCGGTTTATAGGTGATCGGCACTGGGGACCGAATTGCCCGGTCAGCGCGTAAATGTACCTCCCATCTGTTGCTATTCCTAGATGTGAATTTGCCATCTCCTTGGGCATATCAAACCTCCCCGTCCATGTGTTGGAAGTGAAATTGTACACATCAACATGAGAATGCACCTGAAATTGAGGTGAACAGAAAGCAGAAAATTAGTAAATGAGAGAATGCATTTTTGCAAAGAGAGTGTGGAATTGTAAGAGGGGGGGATTCTCACATGGTCGAGGTTCTCGTACCCTGCGAAGACGTAGAGCAGGTCGCCGATCTGGACGGAGTAGCCGTCGAGGCGGGGCACGGGCGCCGCCGGCATCTCCTCCCAGTCCCACCGCGGCGCCGGTATGTCGGCGTACGTCGCATTGAGGTAGCCCTCCGCCGCCGGCTTCTTCCCGCGCGCCCTACCGCTCTTCTTCGCCGTTGCCTGCATAGGCTGGTAGAGTAAGCTGCATCACGGCGGCGGGGCAGGCCGCATTGGGCGGAATCAAGCGCTTACCGTCCTGGAAGCGGAGGCGAGCTGGCCGCGGCCGGAGGTGCCAGAGGAGGAAGATGATGACCAGAGGAAGTCGGCGACGAGGCCGAGGGCGAGGAGGAGAGCAATGGCGAGCGGGACGGCGAGGCGCGGGGACAGTGGCTTGGGCGCCGCCATGGCGGATTGGAGGGAGGAGAACGCGGCGACATGGTCGGGGGTAGGGGGGTTAAGGAGCGAGGCGGTGGTACCTTTTTTGGTGGGGGGAAACGGTGGGCGGCCGCCGGAGTGCAGCGGGCGGTTTCGGCGGCCGCCGGCGCCGGTGGAAATGGAGGAATCCTGGTGCTGTGCTGTGCTGTGAGCCTGCAATCTTGGGCTGTACGCATTGTAAATAAGTCTGTTGTTCCTCCCTCCTCTCTTGCTCGCGAATCGCCTCCTTGAACCGCAAAAGTGCAAAATGAGTGTAGCACCTACTTCATCTTTGAAAACCGGTACAAATCAACTCATTTCATGGTTTTCTGCTGATGTGGGAGTTTGATCGTGTTGACTTGTTGAGTTAGCAATCCTGGTGCTGTGCTGTGAGCCTGCAATCTTGGGCAGTTTAGTGGACTTGGGCCAGTATTCTGTACGCATTGGGAATAAGTCTGTCTTTCCTCCCCTATCTTGCTCCCCAGTTGAATTGTCTCCTTCAACCGCAAAACTAAAAAGAGTATACCTTTTTCATCTTTGAAAACCGGTGCAAATCAACTCCTTTCATGGTTTTGAAAATGGCTTCTACTGATGTGGCAGTTTGATCGTGGTTAACTTGTTGAGTTAGCATGTGATTTCCACCTCATCTTGCCTTCTTCCTTACCCCCTCCCCCCTCTCCTCTCTTCCTCCTCGCTCACCTTCCAGCTAGGGATGTATAAGTGGGCCGACCCGGAGAATCCATTTATAGATAAAATTAGTGAGTAAGCCACAGATTGATTTGTGTATTGCCTACTAGTATTTTTGACATATAAGTAGATTCATGGGTTGACTCAATTACATCCATAAATACAGTAAGTTAGACCACGACACATGAACCCGCAGGTTTACTACTTGTTTGACCTATAAACAAGTTCACGGTCACCCGCCTACGTCCCTACTTCCAGCAACTACACACGATGGTTGACGACTCCTCCCTCGAGCTCATGTAAAACTAATATTATGGCTGTGTTCGCTAGGGGAGGATGGGAACCTGCATAATGGGCGCGGAAAACGGAGTAGTTTATTAGCGCATGATTAATTAAATATTAACTTTTTTTTCAAAAATAGATCAATATGATTTTTCTAAACAACTTTCGCATAGAAAACTTTTTTTTAAAAAAAATACACCGTTTAACAATTTAAAAAACGTGCGCGTGGAAAATGAGAGAGATGAGTGTTAGGAACTTGCTCTTAAGAACACAGCCATGGATAGATTCATGCGCTGATCGACCGACAAAATTTCGGATTGTTCCACAGTTAATTCACAGTTTAAGCCAAATTTTAATTGATAAAGCGAAACGAGCTCTTAATTAACACACTGCACTTTGGTAGCAGCAGCGACTTCATTTATTCTAGATCGGGTACACCGTACATGTACGGGCCAACATACGGTGCATGCAGTGCGTGGCACCCTTAACGGAAAACGTGCACATTATTAGTACTACATGTACATGCGCACGTGCGCTCACGCTGGTATCTACGTACGCCTCAGGCCGGGGCGGCGAGCACGCCGTCGTCCCTGTGGCCGGGAGAGCGGCGGCGGCGGGCGGCGGCGCCGGACTTGGGGGAGAAGATGGCGAGCTCCTGCCCCCTCCCGAACTTGACCATGCGCGCCTCCTCCCTCGACACGCCGAACGCGTTGTCCAGCACGTCCGCCGGCATCCCGCGCAGCGCCGACGACTTGCCAACCACCGGCGCGTTCATGGCGCCGTCGCTCGTCTGGAACGACACCCACGCGAACCCCTCGTCGCCGGCGCGCCCCGCCACCGCGAAGCTCTGCGGCACCACCACCATCTGCCCGCGCCGGAGCTCGCCGTCGAACACCCGCCGCCCCTCGCTGCTCACCACCTGCAGCCTCGCGCTCCCGCTCGTCGCGTACACCGCCGCGTGCGCGTTGATGTTCCAGTGCGGCGCCAGGATCGCGTTCTGCAAATCAAATCAAACACCATCGATTAATTCGTGTCTGTTAATTAATCATAGAAGTTGGATTCTAAACTCTCAGGTGAACGTCTACTAGTTTCTTATATACCACCTAAATAATTATAAAAAAAAATTTTAAAAAATTACAAGTTAGTAATATATCATTTTACAAATATGCAGGTTCAAATTCGACTTTTACAAGTTGTTATTTTTGTTACAACTTGTATAAGTTAAATTTCAATTTACATATTTCTGAAGTGATATATTATATTTTAACTTATCATGTTAATTTTTTTGAAAATTTTTTTTAAGGATTTAGATGCCATGAAAAAAACGGGTGGACGTCCACCAACTGTTTAAAACAGTGATCGTTCGTCGTCTCACCCGGCGCATGACGCCGCGGTTGACGCTCATCTTGATGAGCTTGAGGACGGGGAGCTTCTGGCTGTTGAGGACGGTGATGCGGCCGCCATTGGGGGTGTAGAGGTCGGCCTTCATCGGGTCGGCGACGTTCTCGCGGAGCTTCATCAAGCAGACGGCCTCGTCGATCCCGTTCCCGGCGGCGGCGGCGGCGTTGGCGCCCCTCATCATCTCCTCGTCGGTCACCCGCTCCGTCGCCGGGCGGAGCATGCGGAGGCCGCCGCGGCGGACGCGCACGATGTTGCCGCGCTTGTCGCTGCGGCCCTGCAGCTTGCGCGCGATGTCCGGGCTGACGCGCATCGACTCGGCGAGCAGCTCGGTGTCGAAGCCGCTCAGGATGTTGTACGACTCCTCGCCGCCGCGTTCCGTCTCCGACTCCGACGACTCGCCCTCACCGTACCTCTGCCTCCCCTCGCTCCTCGCCTGCCCGCCGGCTAGCCGGAAACGCTGCAGAAGAAACATTGCACGTTAGGTGTTCGACCGATGGAGTCCATCAATTAATTAATCTCGAGATTGATTACGCACGTACGTACCCTGGAGGTTTGGTCGAGCTGGTTGGCGTTGTTGCTGACGTCGTGAACGGAGATGGCGACGAGCGGGGAGTCGCCGTCGTTGTGGACCCAGAACGGCGCGCCGGCGGGGATGGCCACGACGTCGCCCTGGCGGACGGTGGTGATCCTCTGGTGCTCGTCGCGGATGGACTGCTCGAAGCTGCGGCGGCTGGTCTCCTCTTCCTCCTCCTCCTCTCCCTCGCTCGATCGCCGTCTCTCCTCATCACCACGGCGGCCACGGCGGCGGCGCTCGTCGTCCTCCTGCTCCTGCGACGACGACGACGAGGTCTCCTGGTACGTCTCGGGGCAGCCGGGGATGACGACGCCGACGATGCCACGGCCGTGGACGATGTAGGCGAGGCGGGGGGAGTTGGAATAGGAAGGGAGGAGGAGGCCGTTGCGCTGGATGGTGATGCGCGCGGCGGCGACGCCGGCGCAGGGGAGCTGGCCGTCGCGGTCGTCGTAGAGCTCGGTGTGGCCGGCCTCGGAGTCGACGCGGCGCGTCGGCTCCAGCGCGCGGATGCGGCGGTCGATGCGGTCGCAGCTATCGCGACGGCCGGCTTCTTGCTGGTCGCTCACGGCGGAGGCGCCGCGCAGGAGGAGGATGCAGAGGCAGAGCGGGATGAGCAGCGACGCCGCCATTGATGCCGTCTTCATGGTGGTGTGTTGTGTTGCAGTGTTGGTGGTGGTGGTGGTGAGACATGGCGGGAATGAGGTGGTGATAATTTATAGTGGGAGGAGGGGGAGTGCATGCATGGCAGCTCAGCGAGGGGTTTTGGATGCGTTTGGGTTGAGTGGTTTGTAGCTGGACGCGGCTCGCGGCGTCATGACTTGTGACAGATTCATAGAACGTACACACTCACATATTAAAAATTTTGGGTTAATTAGATACGTGCCACTAAAAAATTGCCGGTTTTAAAATATACCATTACTATTTGTGTATTTGTAACAATGCCACTGCTGCTTGTTCGTAATCTCAATGGTGCCACTAAGATACGTATTTTGCATGTATTGGACGAAAAATCCCCTCATCTTCTATCTCTCTCTCTTCACTCATCTTCTACCTCTCTTCGCCTGCGACATCCGTCGCGGGAGCTCGGAGCGCCGGACAGAACACCGCAGGTCCGCCATCTGCCGAGGCTCTTCACGAAGGCCGTCCTCGCTGCATCGGGCGTCGAGGTGGTGGAGGCAGCTGCTGAACCGGAGAAGCTGCGGGTGCGGTGAGGGAGGGAGGGAGGGAGGTGCAGGAGCTTGCCAGAGAGAAGTGGCCGCTCTTTAATTCTTTGGTCATCGCCATTGCCCAGAGCTCCTCACACGGCGAGGAGAGGCGACTGGATCTAGGACGCGCTGATGCACAAGAGGAGACCGGCGGCGGGTCGAGGTGGAGGGAGATGACGCGCATGAGGAGGCCGGCGGCGGGCTAAGGTGGAGGGAGACACGAACGAAAGAGTGCTAGAGAAAGGAGGAGGTGTGACTGTGGTGGCCACCATCGCCAGTCAGGTCACGCCATGGAGGAGAGGCGGAAGAAGAAAGGGGAAGAAGGGAGAAGGAATAAGGGGAAAAGGGTAGTTTGGTCCAGATTTTTGTAAATGCATCCAAAGGGTAGTGGCATATCTTGAATACGTGTAAAATTATAATGGCATGGTTCCCGATACGTGAATACTAGTGTCATATTTCAAAACCAACATATTTTTAATGGTATGGATCCAATTAGCCCTAAAATTTTTGAATAAGATGAAGGGTCCAACGTCTGCCTAAAAATTAATGGCGTTATCTATTAAAATATAGAGGTAGTATCATCAGATATTATGAAAGTTTCAGGTATTATGATAACTTCAATAAATATAAAAATATCGGATGATACCTAAATACCATGATTTCTTTGGGTATCATGAAGGTATCATGTATGATGGTACCATTAAACAGGTACGAGTAGTATATAGATATAGATATGGATGATACCTAAATATCATAAATGTATCAAATATATATCATGATATCTTAAGATATCATGGTGATATTAGGTATAATGATAATTGAACCATTAGGTACCAAATGTCATAGTACAAGTATCTTGGTATCTTGGTGTCATGGAGATCAATATCATGATACTTGAACCTTTTGGTACCAAATTTTATAGTACCTATGAATATTATGGGTGTGATACCTCCATCTCAAAAATTCACTTATATATAAATATGGACAAGTTTTTTTTCAGATCCTTATAAAAAAAATAAACTCTTTTTCAATT